ATGTAATATATAATATATAATATAATATATATCTATGTTTTCACTTTTTTTTTTTTTTTTTGGTTAAACGTTTTCACAAGCTGTTTAAACCTTCTTCTGCTTCCTTCTCATAGAATACTTTTAAAACAAATTTTGACTCGTTAATTTGCGCTAGCTATATATACACACGCACACATATAACACGTCACATCTAAAACTATTTATCACAACATTGAGTCCTTGAAAATCCTATCAACAGTCGAGTTGGTTTGACTATGTGGCATCTTTTCCGTTAACAAGAAAAAAAAAAGTCCGTTAACATTCCTTTTACACAAAAGTTCATGAAGTTTCCCAAGGAGATGGCAAAAAAAAAAAAAAAAAAAAAAAAAAAAATCCTATATATTCCGACATAAGTACACCTATAGCCCACAATTATTCTCTTCTTTCGGGAATTTTCCATTCTATTTCCTTTTCCGGTGAGAGGTTCTATCAAAGATGAATGACTTTGTTAAAAAAGTTTCAATCCCTTATCTACTTAATTAACACTAGTAAGTTCATTAGGATCATGGTAATCAATAGTTTCCAATAATTAAACCCTATGAAAGCCGACTTTGCAGGAGTCAAGTGTGGTGGTTATTTGACATAATTCTTGACATAAAAACCAAAACAAAACGAGAGAGAGATGCCATTTTTGGTAGGCCGAGCGCTTGGAAACTCCTGTAGGGTCACACGAAGTTAGGAAGGGTCATGGTTTTTGCATCAAACTAAAGGGTAAAGTGAAGGATCGTGATAATAATTAGTCTTGGTGCTCCAAATTAAGTTACCATTGTAGGTTACTAGATATAGTCATAGGCGGGTGCGCACACATATATATATATATATATATATTGTTGAAAAAAGTGTACGTGTGTTGTCCTATATAGAAAGTGAATGAAGATGTGAAATCGTTTATATACATAGAAGGATCTAAGACTTAATAGTCAATAGGTTAATCTTTTAGGTTAAGTTGAGCTCCTGAAGTGTATTGAGTTAATTTCGCATGTAGCGTCTTCCCAATAAATAGTATCAGAGTCAATATTTTGTATAAACTAGAGACGTTTGGTTCATGGATTAGAATAATGAGATTAGAACAATTTTTGATTTACGTGTATTTTTTATGACAGAAAACATTGTAGCGAATCATGAACCATGATTCAAATCGGGATATAAATTTCTCAACCAAACAACCTGTAATCACACTCAATTAGTGTTTCTGCAGTCAGTGCTGTTGGCGGTGCGGATGGTAGAGCAGTTTATATATGTGGTTTTGTTGAGCTAAAAACAATAGTTGATGAAGAGATGTGACTTGTGAGTTGTGACCCACATGACAGAAAATTTGACTAAGATGAGCAAGAACAACACCGACCTATGTAGATAACCAGATATAGACAAATATAGCTAGACCTAGTACGGATTTCAAGTTTTGCAATCACGTTAGACTTTACTTTGAAGTATAATAAACAAGAAATAAAAATCCTACCAAAATACTGTCCTATCTTATCCAATTAGATAATTTTAATTAATACTCCTTAAAATGGTATTATTAAAGATATTTAGGTTTCAATGTTGACTTATTGAATTTTGTCCATTTAGAGTAAATAATTTGACAAATTATTATCGATACTTTGACAGATATTGTCTGTGGGAGTTTCTGATAGCCCGTGGCAGGTGTAATTTAACAGACTATTGTTTAAAATTTGATAAATTATTATTTATAATTTAATAAATTATTATCAAAGAGGTATCACAGTAAAGGGGGTATTCGTATCTTAATACATGTATTTAATTTGAAAATGATGTGTTTAAAGATCAGTTTTTACAATTTTCTCTATTCAATTCGGTGTTATGCTTGCCTTCCTTCGGCCGGGCTATAACATTGTTTTTCTGATGCCTTTTGGGCCCACAAGCCCAATCACTGCCATGTTGGACCTTAGGCTAAGACGTAATGAAATAGGGAAAAATGAGACACGTCCGTTTAGTTCGCTGATTCGAGTTGAGATGTGATTTTATATGATAGTTTTTTACTACAATAAAACTTGAATTCTAAACTTGAATCGGTAAAATAAACGGGATTTAAAAAACTTCTTGTTATGATTTGGGTTAATCTTGATAATAAAGTTTACCTTCAATCTCATTTTAGTCCATAATTTTTAAAACATACTACATTTAGTCCCTCAGAGTTTATTTTATTTCAATTTTAGTCCCTCAGAGTTTATTTTATTTCAATTTCAGTCTTTCTGTTAGCTAAGTATTAAATATTTGACTAAATATGTGTAAATTAAGAAAAAAATATCAGAAACATCTAAAGTTTAAGGTCTATAAAAACAAAAGTTAATTTCCTCAAATAGTCTATAATTTTTAACAGTTTTCAAATTTAGTTGCTAATTTACACGGATTTCATCAAATATTTAACGCATAGTTAATGGAATGACAAAAACTCAAACAAAATAAACTTTAGAGACTAACTGTGGGACATTTTAAAAGTCAGGAACCAAAGTAATATTGAAGATAAAACTGTAAGGACCATTTGTAGGATTAATCCTTATGATCTTGTAAATCTTCAAAAACTTTTTATTCTTGATGTTACATTTCTCCAAAAGGGGTGGAAAATCTCACCTTCAAACTATTACCTAAATTATCTCTCTCTCTCTCTCTCTCCCCCACCCCCCCCCTCAGAGGCTTTGTTCCAACCAAATATGCTGCTGGCATGAGTTTTCCTATTTGAATCCAGTGACATCCATTATGGTGAACGTTTCTCGGCTAGATTTTCTTTCATATTGTTTTCTGTAATTGTGAAGTATTTTGATAACAAATTGTAGGTAACACGATAGACTACCATCGGTAATATGACTACGGTCAGTCACAGATAGACTTCCAAACATGATGGTAAATGTCAGACTACCATTAGTTACAAGGCAGAATACCGTTAGTGACGTGGTAAAGTAGACGGTGGAAAAGTAGTGACAGTTGTTTTCGCTTGGGCTAAACTCATTTTTAATTCTTTAGACCATAGGACGAATCTCAATTTGCCCCCAATCTTTAAAACCTCTCACGATTTTACGTGCCTTTTTTCTTCGATTAACAATCAAATAGATAAGAAATTTTAATTTCGGACAATTTAATAGATCAAATATTAAGAACATTTTGAATTTCGTCGGGACTAAAATGATCTTTAACACTCTTTCTAACAAGGTGGATTATACTTTAGACTACGTGGAAGATGGCATTGGGCAGTGGGTCAGTACCAAAAGCTCGGTATGATATAGTATGAGCCAGGCGTATTTTTAGAATATTCAGTTTTTTTTAGAGACGACAATATAGGTCACGATACCAACACGATTAAAAAACGACATGAATTTCACGGGTTAAGATTGAAAAAAAAGAGGTTCAGGTCAGAATTTGGTCGACCTGAAATTGACACGAAAAACACGGGTTAATTTCATATTGGACTCCGCCTAACCCAAACACGACATGAAACTCGTAAAAAACTAAAAAATGCATATATTTTTCATTACATATGTTTTTATTTTATTATAAACTTGTGATATCATGATAGTTATACTCAAAATCTTATACTATTATTTGCTTAATTTCAATAGACGTTATTGTATTTTAGTGTGTTATGAATTTTAAGTTATTTTTAATATGTAAAAAACTAAATAAAAATATACAATTTTCGTGTCAATTTCAGGTTCACAAGTCAATTTCGTATCACGAGTCATTTTTATGTTGTGTTGTGTCAATCCGTAAAGCGATCACGTCGTATTTATATTACGATTTTTAAAAAATTTCGTGCCGTGTTGATTACAAATTTAGAAAGACAATCAAAACACACCCCTAACTGTTTTTTAGCCTAGTATAGACAAATTTCAGTTCAAAAAACAGGAAAGAAACGCCCACCGTGGGGCTCGAACCCACGACCACAAGGTTAAGAGCCTTGCGCTCTACCGACTGAGCTAGACGGGCTGTAGGTGCTATTGTTGATATGCAGTGGATTTCTACTAGTTTACATTAGGATATTTCAAACGCAGCAGATACAATTTTTTAAACGTCAAATATCAAATTCAAATTTCATATATATTTTTAATTTCATATGATTTGGTAGTGAAAACACGTGTGTGTTATCCGTAACGTATTACATAAACCAAACAAACAAGGGAAAAAAATAAATAAAAAATCAAACCAAGACATTAACTGGAATCCAATTCAAGCATAAGCTCCAAGTACTTGGCGACACAAGATCCACCTTTCGTCAGTATTTTGCAAATGCAACAGGCTTGGTTTCAGAAAGCCAGATGTAGTACCACCAACGTTAGACTCTATTTCTATTTGACACGTAAAACAGAATCTCCACAAATGATCAGATCTACTTCTCAAACTGTCAAATTGTAACAAACAAGACTACAGCCTAACAACCGCGTTGTCGTCAGGAGCTGATTGCATTCAGACTTTTTAGACTCAGTGGTGGAAATTGGGAATGTGGATGTATCAGGTTTAAAAAATACCCACGAGTCCAAAGTCGATAATGCTTAAAATCATTGACAAATGTAGCAAATCTCACAAGGGCCATTTTTTGGAGTTAACACGTCTATACCCACATCTACAATGCATATAAAACTCTCAACATGATATATATAAAATGTATTTGTTTTCTTTCATACGCTATTCAGCATTAGAGTTTCGTTTCAATTAAGCTGCCAGACTTTCACATGGTTTCTTTTCTTCCCATGTTTTCTCCACTCTATTAGCTATATAAATAATGCATGTGCCTCCTACTTAGATACAGAACAATTAATGATTCATCAAGCATAAAGCTCTTTTAGCATAGTTTAGAACAAAAAGTTGCTAACAACCTTTATATCAGATAAAGCTTTTGTTATTGTTATCGTCATTTTCTAACATGCATCCATAACCTTCTGAAAACACAAGTCACGATCAGAATTGTAATATATATTAATTTTAAAATAACGTCCACAAGAGGGAAAAAAGAGAGAAAAAAATAAAAAATAAAAACAAAATGTCTGAACTCTTAACCCTACCGTTACAATCTTATACTATAAAATACCCCCCCAAGCTACACCTTATCACAGTTCCAAAAAACCCCAAGTTAATCTCCGCAAGAGCCACTAAAGCATTCTATTCACTGGACTAGCATAGAGATGTCAACTTGAAATCAGAGCTTAAGAGAGTTCTCACCAGTGAGAACTGAGAAGCATCTGATATGGCCTTCGTTGCTGATAGGGTTTCTTTGCAGCCCCACTAGTCAGACTTAAGATCTTGAGTTGAAAATTGGTACGGCCCTCCATTATGCTTTTCATAGCTTTCTTCTTTCAACTGAAATATATCAACATTAATATTTAGAAAATTAGAACCAGAAGAGAAATGCAAAATCCAAGATAGAAAGAACTATGTACATGATGTTAGTATAACATATGGCCAGATGAAGAGTAAAGGGAAACACAAACTAGTAATGAAACGAACAACACACAAATTTTCCAAAAAAGGACTAATCAACTTAAAAGCTCTGATGGTGCCTTTTAAAGAAAAAAGATTCAAAGGAAACACGATTGTTTTAACCCATGTGGAACACTTCCCTACGGAAAGGAGGAATGCACTCGGAAACTCCAGAATTAGTCTGACTTTCACAAGTCTCGGTGGAGTCTCAAATTCATATTCATTGCAAAATAACTTATAGGAAACAATGTCTTGAAAAATGGTGATATAGCCATCTACGAACTATTCATCATAATTAACTTATTTAAGTAGTAATGTTAAAGTTTTGAACCATAAACTACTTAATGATCTATCAAGAGCAAGTCCTGGTTCCTCATACTTATAAATATGATCAAGCTCCAATGAAATGAAAAAGAAATAAGCAAAAGCACTTGATCAGTGTTCTAAGGAATAATTTACCTTCTTGAGGATCTTCTTCTGATATCGGAAGCCCTAGTGAAGTTGAACAAAATAATATTAATCCCAAGTCATGAATTGGATTAATCAAAAAGAACAGGCAGAGAGTTCTAATATAATAACATTGTATTTCACCTTGTCAGTTCCATAAATGAAATCACAGTAGGTGAAAACAGAAGCAAAGTTGCTCTGGCTTTGTCCCCCAACATAGTGATGGTAATCATGATACTCAGCACCACCATAAAATGGAATGTATTTGGTGGGGCTCCAGGGAAATTCATACCTGCGGATAAAACATTCATTACGAAAAGCTCTGCTCTGCATTAAATCAGTAGCCAGAACTTCACATGTGGAACATTTAAGCAAGGCTATTGAAAATATTTGAAATATCCTCTAGAAAACAAGCATAATTCTTCTTTTGCAGCTGATTCGTATTTCTTTAAAAAAGGCTACCCAGTCAGAGGGAGAAAAAAAAAATCCAAAACAAATGAAGAACCTGAAGAAATTTTCATTCAAGCAGCAGTTAATCCTTCTATAATAGAGGATAATAGAGGAGCCATAAAATAACTAGTATATACAGCTAGGAATTAGGACATTCCAACTCAGAGAAACCACCAGGACCCTGATGTAACCCCACACCTACATCACCAGATTGTTCATCCAGTTGTCTAAAAAGTTCCACAAGCCCCACCAGTACTATTCTCTTGCCTAACCATACCAGGAGAATTCTGAAAGACACATAACATCAAACAAGCAACACGCTATGCGGCGGCTTACCCATTCCTCCAACGGCACATAACAATAATAGTGACAAATATATCTCACTCTTAATTTCATTAAAGAGCTCAATTCTCCGATTTTACATAATGTAAGGTCCAAGAATTACCTAAAATGGAGGTATAAATCTTTATGGCAAAACAAACACACACAAAAAGTCTTTTTCACAGAACAGACCCAATGTACCAAACTAACGCCAATCCTTTTCAAGAGTTCTATAAGAATCTCATTAAAGGAACTGAAAATCCCCGAGCGAGATATTCAAGAAGAAAAGTTTGAAAAGTTAAAAGGGCATCATGTTGAACCTAGTCCCCATCAGCAAAAAGTTAACCCACTAATGAAGATCCTTCAAATCAAGAGTACTTCACATGCAATTCCATTAAAAAATAGTAATAAAGGCGTACTTCACATGGCTCAATCACAATCAGCATAAGCAGATAAGAGTAAGACCACGAACAAATGGAAAGCCCACAAATAAAAATAATGAAAAAAAAAAAGTGAATGAGGCGTGCGTACCCGCTGTGAGTGTCTATGGCCTCAATCTGCCTTAAAGCAATCCACAACCAGAAGGTGATCATGTGTCCAGGAACCATGGCCGGCCCTAGGAAAGACGGGATTCCGAGGATCAGAATCTCCGCCCAATGCGCGTATGGCGCCGCAAATCCAATCGGAGCCGTGTACTCGTGATGAACTCGGTGAATCTTCTCGTATCCCCATTTGTTATGCAAAAATCTATGGATCCAATAGTTCGTGTAATCCTCCACCACAAAGTAAACCAATAATTGCGAGAGAATCTCCCACCCAGAAGGCAATGGCAACCCCGTTCTAATCCCAATCAACTGTAAATTCACAGAAATGAAAAAAAATCATCAAATTTTGACCTAATTCACACGAATTTTGAACAGATCAGAAGTTAAGTAGGCAAGAAATTCAGCAGAAAAGCAACAAAAAACCGAAATTGAACCGAAATAGCAACAAAAGTTGAAATGAGCCGCAAAATCATTAAAAAAACAGCCAAATAAGAGAAGAATCGAAATGAACCGAAAAATCATTAAAAAAAGCAACAAATTGAAGTGAAGCGGAAAATCTCGATCAATAGCAAAACGAAGAACTGAAGCAGCAAAAGGCAAGACATTGAAATGAAATGGAAGAAAGAAGAAGAATGAATCGGGAAATCGGAACCTTGATGGAAGGGAAGGAGACGAGCTGGAGAGGGCCGACAACGAGGAAGAACATGCGCATGACGTCGCGGTAGCAGGAGAGGGTCTCGGAGAGGGAGAGGCGGACCTTGGGCTGAATCTTGTAGCGGAGGAGGCCGGAGGAGCGGGCGAGCTCGAGGAGGACGAGAGGCACGGGGACGACGGAGAAGGTGAGGAAGAGGAAGAGGACGTTGTGGCAGTACAGGAAGTAGTCGGACTTCCGGGCAGAGTAACTGAACCAGAGTGCCTCGGCGGCGCTCAGATTCCGGCCCAGCGCCGCCGCCGCCTCCTCCACCGTCTCGTATGTCAGCATTTATTTAGAGAGAGAAAGAGAGTTTTGGTTTTGGTTTTTGGGGAGTGACGAGAATTGAGGGGAATTTAGTTGAGTTGTGAGTTGTGAGTGGTGTTAAAATATGCGGGAAGTTTTAAAAGGACGAGTCGACGGGACAGGCGAAAACCGTACCCACACCACATATGACCAATAACGGGAATCCCCACGCTGGTTCGTTGTCGTTACTCGTTGAAGTTGACGGTTTTTTTTTATACTTCCAAAATTATGGGTTTGATATTGTTTGTTTTAACCCTCCCGGTTACCACATAATTTTTTCCCCCCAAAATTAGATATACATTGGATCATCAGATTTTAATCAAATTGAACTGAATTTGCATATTTTGAGGCCCGTTTAGTTCACTGATTCAAGTTTTTAATTGGGTGAAAGAAAAAAATAGGTCAAGACTTGAGATGAATTAAAATTAATAAGTCAATAGTTTATATAAGTTAATAAATATGTCAAATTACTGTTTTCGTTCATAACTTGTCTGGTTATGAGCTATAACTTGACAAGTTATTGTCTATAATTTATCTGATTATGAACCATAACTTGACAAGTTTGTCCATAATTTATCTAGTTATTAACCATAACTTGATAAGTTATGGCATATTAATTTCTATAACTAAAAAATGGCCTATATACTTTCTTAAGCTTTTCATATTGGCCTATTTCCTACTATTTTCCTTTTTAATTTGAGTTAAAATGTAATTTTATGTGAAAATTTTTTACTGTAGTAAAAAAATAAATGTAATTATTTTTTAGAGCTTTTTACTGTAATAAAACTCGAATCAGTGAAATGAACGAAACCTTATTCTTTTCTTCCTCGATTGATCTAAACAATGAAATTGTGCAATATTAGTACATGTTTGTCAATTCATTTTTGTGTGATTATGATCCGATTTAAAGTTAAAAAACATTAACAAACCGCATTTTACGTCAAAAACTATTTGTTTTATCAAAATTTAAGAAAAAACACGAATAGATAAATGTCTTCAACGTATAAGATTGATACTTAATTATGTGGCATTCAAAACGTAAGCTGTAAGATTAATCTTATATCTTATATTATATAAGATAAGATTTAAGATTTGTATCTTATATAAATTAAATCGCATGCAATATGATATAAATCTTACATTAAGGCATATATCTTCAACGTCAAAGACATAAGATTGGTTATCACGTTACCAAATAAAAAATATAGAAAAATATGTTTCAAACTAAGAAGAAAAACAAAAAAAACAAAAAAAACAAAGGAATGGCAGCAATGCTATATTATTGACTTTTCATTTTTTTTAAAGGTAGAACTTTTGTTCTTCGAGTATAAAATGTCTCTTAAAACTGTACTAAATCATGTGTATTGCAATTAGGGAGATAAGTGTAAACAAAATTGCCAAGTAAACGTGGAATTTCATTTTTTTTTTTTTAAAGAGAGGAATAATATCTTCTTTTTCGGTGAATAATGCTAGATCCTAATAATTTTCTCAATCTCATCCACCAGATAATAGTGCCAGTCTTTTTTTTATTTCTTTTTTAATTTTACAAGAACTCGTTTAATTCGTTGATTCGAGTTTTTAATTAGAGTTGAGATGTGACTTCATGTGAGAGCTTTTTACTGTAATAAAAAAATTAAATGCGACTGTTTCTGAGAGTTTTTTACTGTAATAAAACTCGAATTCTAAACTCAAATTAGTAAAATGAATGGGTTCTAAGTTTTTTATTTCTTGTTGTTGAAGGGTCGTGGTAGTTAATTTGTTAATATGATGTAAAACATCATTGAATCACATTCAAAAATATATATACATATATATATATATAATTAAATCAATTGTTTAGAAAAAAAGATGTCATTAATTTTATTAATGAATATTTTATCTTAAAATTAAACAAACTAAGACATAAAAAATCAAGAAAAAAAATAATGTTAAACTATCTCCAATACACATCAAAATATTAATGATATGATTAGTCTGGTGTGACCATATCAGTTCAGCAATTGTAATACATTTTGTTCAACATTAAAACGTCGTTTATATGTTCAAGTAACACTCGATAATATGTATATATATATATATATATAGATATATAGTTCACCACTAAACTACATTCTCTTCAACATTTACTTTAGTGTTACAAACTCAGATAAAAAATGCTACAAATATCAACCGACAAAACTGTCAAATTGAAGACTTTGCTTTTAAAAAAATACCCTATTTTATTTTGTGCCTCAATATACAAACATGGTGTGTTTAAGAGCATGGTAGAAACGGCACAAAAAGTGTGGCAAACCGAGAGTAATGCTATGTTCGGTAGGAATGAAAGAAAATAGGATAGAAAGAAAATATAGAAGTGATGAAAAATAACAATGATGGAAAGGAAATTGATTTTCTTTTATGTTGTTTGGTATGAAAAGATGGAAAGAAAATGAGCTTACCTTTACTTATTTGGTATTGAAAGTTAAATTAGGAGGAAATAAAAAATTTTACTCGTAAATTACTTTTATACTCTTAAATTTTTTGCTTGGATGTTGATGGAGAAAATGGTAGTTTAGTAACTTTACTCACTTTAATGAGTTGTCCCAATTTTCCATCCCATTTTTTGCCCGCTTGTGAAAAAAAAAAAATAGTGAGGCCCACATGTATTATTTTCCACTCTATTTTCTCTTTTCTCTCTTACCAAACAACCTACATTTTCATTTTTTCTCCTAAAATCCCTCCACCTTCTTCCTTCCTTCTACTTTTCTTTCCTACCAAACATACTCTAAGAGATGAGGGGAAAACCGCCAAAGCAGAGCAGACAGTGAGGCCAAAGTGCAGTCCCCAACTTCCAAGAGTGATGCTGATGACTCCATTGCTGTCCAAATGAAATGAAATTACACATTTGTCTTGTCCTCCACGCTCTGCTTTCACCGGCAACCACGTGACTAGCCATCTCTGAGCTGGGAGTTCATCTCTGATCTGTCTCCCAGGTGAGTCTTTTGCATCTGGGCCGAAATTTTTTTATTCAAATTCTTTACCAGAACAAAAACATTATAGAAAATTTATAGTTTAGGTTTGAATACGTGTATTAAATAATTTTTAATGATTTGAATTACAAGTGAGGTTTTTATTATAATATATGTTTGATTAACATGTTTAAATTAATGATTTTAATTCTGTTACAGAGTCTTTTCTCATAGAAAATTTAAATAAAAAATTTTTCGCTAATTGATTCTCTCATAAAATTTAAATTCGGAGTAAAAATTGATGACTTGAAGTATTTCTTTAACATAAAATCACTTTTTAACTCGACTTCAAAACTCAAACCGGCGAAACCAAACTAATGATGCTGAGCATCACATACTAATAAAAAAAATAAATTGAATTTAATATATAAATTTTACTTTATTTTTTATTAATTATAGTACTTAACACCATTGTATCTAATATTCCCCCCCCAATATTAAAGTTACATTTTGTTTATTAGATGAAAATTGAGATCATAATGGTGTTCTAACGCCCCACGTTCTCATCAAATATTCTGATCTAGAATGTCCATGTACCTTGAACACACAACTTTATAATCTTAAAAGACTAAATACGGTGACCAAAACTTTACGAACATTTGATAAATATGAAAAAAAAAACATAAGATATAATTAATTGTCCCATTACCATCGTCATGCTACAAAACGGTAGGTATTAATTAATAAAGCTATATTGGGATCATCATGGTCATAATTGGTAAAGTCATAAAATTACTTGTTCTTAATAAATATAGACAACCTTATATTAACATCATAATCCATACAAATAATCCTATTAATTGCAATCTATCCTCAAGGACATATGCATAATTGTTACTTGTTCGTCATGCTACAAAACGGTAGGTGTTAATTAATAAAGCTATATTGGGATCATCATGGTCATAATTGGTAAAGTCATTAATTACTTGTTCTTAATAAATACAGACAACCTTATATTAACATGATAATCCATACAAATAATCCTATTAATTGCAATCTATCTTTAAGGACACATGCACTATTGTTACTGCTTCCGTAAAATACATGAGTAAACAATATCCTATTTTTTTTTTCTTCAAGCACATTTCAATAACGTGAAAATCCATTATTTTAAATGTCTCGAGGCTCGTTTAGTTCCCTGATTCGAGTTGAGATATAATTTTATTTAAAAATTTTTTACTGTAGCAAAAAAGTTAAATGTGACTGTTTCTGAGAACTTTTTACTGTAGTAAAACTCGAATCGGTGAAATGAACGAGATCTTATTATTCTTGTGAAGCTTTCTCTTTGAGTAATGTTAAAAATTGATGTAATGGTCATAAAAATTACTTTAGAAATATGTAAATTAACGTGCCCGACCGTAAACATTTTCTTATATTGTGGTAAATTGAATGACAAAATTCAGGACAACAATTTTCTTAAGGGGAACGGACGCCATGCTTGAGAAATAAGACGTATCTGGTGCTATACAGCCTTGTGAAATACTTGAAGTTAAGTCTTGGAGACTTGGAATATTGAGAGAATAACTATTCACAATTCCATTAATCTTTTCTTTTTCCTATATCCTTTGTGTTCTATTCGGACCAATAATGATTATAAATTTAGGCCAAGTAACGACAATCCATATCCAACTTTATGCGTCAGCACTTTGACCATTGTATGCAGTAAAACCCAATAATGATTGCTCTGAAACACAAAATCATGAATCCAGGACTTTGAATCCCCACTCTCGCTAAATTAGTAAAATAACCAAAATAGGATTATCTATATTGTGTGCAATATATATATATATTGAATTTAAAGTTAATCTTATGTCTATAAAGTAGAGGATGTAAAGCAATATTGTCCATGTAACAATGATTTTGCAAAACAATATAACAATAAGAAATTTATCTACCATAAGATTCATATATAACCAAATGTCACATTAGTTAATAAGATAAATAACATGTAATTACATTCTCTATTTCTGTCATATATATCCAGCCTGGTATTTCTTTTTTTTGGCTCCGGATATCCAGCTTGGTAATTGAAACTGTTAGAAGCT